ATGACTGTGGCCTAGAGAACCATGACCTCAACATCTCGCGGCGCACGCGGTTTTCACCTGTCGCGAACGTTTGCTAGGGTCCCCTCGCAAGAGTTGCGAACTGGTAGCCAACGTCACTCATCCACCCTCACTGTTACTGTACGCTCGCCCATTCGCGTCCAAAGTAATCTACCAGTTTTTCTTACTCCAGTGATTGCATACTTGGCGGTACCTTCTCACTGGATCAGATAAACAGATTTAAAAATTAGTCAATGAATACCTTACTCAGACCTGTACCCAACAACAACTCAAACTCAAAGAAACCTTTCTTCCCTGCTTCCGAAAGCAGGCGCGTAGGGTGCTAAAATGGTTTAACAAACGAAAACTTGGGTAGATCACTGAAAGTCAACCGGAGGCATCGCTCGTCGAATACTCGCCAGTGTGTTTATGCAGGCCTTTTGTATGGGCTCACATTTAGAAGCTACCCTGAGTCGATAACGGTCTCCAAGAACGCAAAAGGCCCAAAGAGCCTTGAGTTGGTCACTGCTGAATATAGGTAAGGAATTTCTAATAAATCGAAGTCTAGCTGTAAATAAATTTTTATAAATAATTTCGAAGCTTCAAATGTCGAGTCTGAGTTCTTTAGACGGGTAGAGCCCAGAAAAATACCTCCAAACAATAATTATTTACTTCTGTTGCAGGGGATGGAGGTCGCCAACAGGAGCTCTTAAGCATAGCGAACCCTCTTCCAAAGCCAGCTTGGACATGGAACGGTATTATGCCAGTTTCCACTTTCAAAAGTGAGTCGGCGGAGAATCAAAACCACCAGCAGCTTGGAGGCGACAGCGTACTTCAAAATTATTCGGCTCTTACTTCCACTGTCGCGCCCAGGAGCACTGCTTACTCTAGCGCACGAACAGTCGGCTCCCACGATTCTCCGTTTTACGATGGGGTCTTCAGCAGTCCCCGCTTCGCTATCCAGACAAATGTATTCCCTACAGAGGGCTTTTCACATCACGGCGAAGGCGAACGAGATGTGAGGACACCGATAGCAGAGCCCAGGATGAGAACAAACTTCCCTTCTATATATGCGGATCACAATTGGAACCCCATGGAGACCGGATTGGTTACAGCACCGCACCAACCTGCTCCACTTGGTGAGGTCAACCGATCAGCTGCTTCTGCTGCTGCCACCACGAACGTCAACCTGTTCTCGTTCTCCCCTTCCGTCTCCTCCGCATCATCCTCGTCCTCCTCCTCTGATTCCTCTCCCTCTTAAATTTCCTTTTTCTTTGCCTCCTCATTATCCTCCTCACTACGACCCCCCTACTTGAAGTCCGCCAAAAGTCCTTCCCGAGACCTGCGCTTTTAGCTGGCTGCAGATTTTTTTAGACGCCAGTAAATACGCGTTTCTGTCTTCTTCCCCTTCATGCGCATGCTCCCCCCCCCCTCCATGCCACTGTAAAAACCTGACTGGACACCCGCGGCATGAAACTCCATCTTTGATT